GTAGAATGTTATGTTCAAACATTGTAGATAAACAAATTACTATTTGTAAAAATACAAATTTTTGATGTGGACAATATTTGCAGTTTCGGCCTTCTTCTTTTTTTTAAATTTTCTTTTTACAGTTACCATGTAAAATAATTTTTTGTGATTTTAGTAGTTATTATCTGTAATGTAAGAAACAACAAGTTACAAAAAATAATTTAAAAAAATACAGTTAAAAACTTTTTAAAGACAATCAGTTTTTACAGTGTACCACACACAGGTGCCCTTTTTTGTTGTTCTTATTACAGCTTTGCACATTGTTTCAACTCTAAGGCACATGATGGTTGGGTTTTTCCAGCACTTAATATGCTACAGGCAGACAAGTATGAGGCGTGCAGGTATCAGAGCCCAGCATGCCACCCACATACAGTGAAGCCTGAACAGCAGGCCTGTCTGTCCGCTGAGGACAGTAGATAATGATCACCTGCTCTCACCAGACAGTCTGTCTCCCCTCCACTGATAACTGGGAAACACTGATCTCAAAAGGTGAGCAACCAGCGGAAAAACAAGTACGTCTCTGGTGAGGATTGGAGGGCACTTTGAGCTTTTGTAAAGGCATGATTTGAATTCTACCAAGTGCCTTTCTTAAGCTAATATTGGCCGATACACAGAATCAAAGATAGTGTCTTGATCATGTATTTTTATTTATTTTTAAAATAAAGTTTAGTACAATGCAAAATTAGGGTCAAAATCTTACTCAGAACAACAATTTCCCTGAGGTTTGCACCAAAGGGATCAATAAAGTTCTATTCTATTCTATTCTATTCTATTCTATTCTATTCTATTCTATAAAATATACTTTAAACTTTATTATATCATGAAACCTGTCACGGTGGCATGATGCAGAAATGAAGTTTTGTGGTTGTCTTAATGGCGCAGTCATAAAAATATTTCATTAATCACCAACTCTGCCTCAGCAACATATACTGAAGGTGCTTTCCCCCATTTATCTTCAATAGGCCTGCAGTCAACAGATTCTAAGTTTGATTTGGCTATAGTGAAGCGCTTGAATAAGTAAAATCATCAGATAAACAAAGCTTCTTTTAATTTTGATGACATATAAACCTACTTGATCCTCAGACATTCAGGATCATTGGGTCAACACATTATCTGCTGGTTAAAGTCACTGTTCAAACTAAAAGCGAGGAAAGTTTCAGGCCACCATGCATTGTAGACGGAATTTTTTGTAACAGAGGACAGTTTGTCTCGTGCATGTGATCCAATGTGAGAATTGTGGATTCAGTTGCAGGATGTTTTTCTTCATGTTCAGTATCTTGTTTTACTTTTTCCCGAACAATCAATGCTCACACACGAGCAGCAGTTAACCCTGATAAATTCATGTCTCGACTCCTCTCAACGATGACAAAAGGAGACTGGATGTGCTGTTGCTCAGAGCGAAAGCTAGATTTACCTCCTGATGTCATGCGAGCGAAGCGAGGCGCCAGTCTAAACACAATCTGTGCAGCTGAAACTATCGGAAACTGAAGAAGAATGCAGCAAAACTGCCAAAAACAGAGATCATGAGCGCCGGGTTTAGACATTCACACAACAGGAGAAATGAAGAATTGCAGCTCACAGATATCCTCAAACAGCCTTCAACTATGACCCAGAACAACAACAACAACAACAAAAATCTGAAGTCAACTGTAGGAGCATCTAAAAATCTGTTCCCATCATTTTATTTTACTGTTATTTAAAGATAGAAATGTTGCTCTTTTCTCAGTACAGTACCATAGTTCTATAAATCCTGTAGTGTTCTTTCTCTCTGTTCCTGCATCAGTTAAGGCCCTCAAAGCACATCTATAAAAATCCAAGTGACTTTTATATTTTTAAGGATGAGTTTGTCCTTGAGGCTCCCTCTTATTTCTTCTCAGTGACGAGTTGTAACAAACATGTCGCACCGTTTCTGTTGCTCAAAAGGATGTTGCTTTTACTCACAAGTGAAACAGCAATTTAAAGAATGCAAATCTAAGCGGGGAGGGACTGATAAGAAAGAAACTCTCTCTGTTGGTGTATGAGCATGATCATATGTTTGTTGATAAAAAACAGCAACAATACTCCTGTGCCGTAGGCTGTGAATATAAACAACTGATCAATTATGTTAGAAAAATTGTAATTAGGACGTGTTTGTGCTATTATCACATTAACTTGAAAGTTGCTTAGCTGAACGCTTGAAGATGGGAAGTGATCTTGTGTTCTTGTTCTTCTTGTATTTAGATGCTTAAGTAAAGGCAGAAATGCAGGAATATAAAAAAATACTTCAATAAAAGTAAAAGTCCTGCATGAACGTAAAAGCACATTAGTATTTACAGTAAAATGTTGCTGAAACACTAAAGTAAATG